ACAACAAATGGGGGCAGGAGGGTTGGATTTTCACATAGAGACGCTGCTAGATCTGTTATGAAAAGATAAAAGAATCCATCAAACCAGTATTTTCTCAAGTTTTGACTTGTAGAAAGTGCTCCCAATGATTCCATGAGGAAACTAAAAGGTCTGCACTCGCAGCACAGACCGTACCGTACACACCCTTTTTGTGCCCATCAAACTCATCCTTAGGCAACAAGTAGCAGGATGTTTCAAACAGTTGATGGAAAATGTGTAACATGAAAAACCATGCCTGAATTTCAAAATTCTTTGGCATCACAATAAACTTATCCTTTGATTTCATTTTTGCACAAACCTCCTGCAGTCCCCTTGTACACTAAGGAGACTGGGAGACTGTTTTGTGGTTGTCTAGCCACTTCCATTAAGTTAATTACTTTTTGGCAGAATAAACCACATTTTTGCAATGTTGGTAACTTTGCAATGGAGATGCTCCAAATGTTGAGTTATCTGTAAAGCAGGAAGCGATGGCCAGGAAGCAAAAGCAGATGCCTGTGTCTAAGGGATGCCTTTATTTCTCATCTTTCTGCATCCATCTGATGAAAACAAATTACAATATCCTTCAGGAGAAAAATGCTGGGTGAATGCCCATGTGCCACTATTAGATTTTCTAGCCACTTATTATTGTGCTGTTTGTCTAGTTAAATTAACCTGTGCAAGAAATGCATGCTGCTTATGACCAACACGCATCAACGCTCCTTACAGGAGTTCCCCTCTGGATTTCATCTTCGATTCAGTGAATATTTGCAAAGTGCCAGCTCTGCCCAAGTCACCGTATGAGCAGCTGGGAATAAAATGACAAGCAAGACAAACACGGCCCTTGTTCTCTGTGGGCTTCGAGTCTGTCCCAGTGGTGCCCACATATTCATGTGTGTATCAATCACTGGGATTCTGCCTAAAGCACACCTCTGATCCAGAGAGGCCAAGCAGGGTCTAACAAGTCCTCTGGATACTGTAAGGCTGGCTTAAGGATCATGCTTTAAGTAACAATGGACTAGCCCCTTGGTTCTCAGCTGCTGTGAGAAGACATCGCAGGAATGTGTGTGCTTCCCAAAGTCCCACCCTGAGAATCCCAATCAGGCAATACTGTCATTGTGATGGAAAATATATGCTATGATGATGATGATGATGATGATGCTGTCGGGTAAACTTTGAGCTGAGAGAGCAGTTATTGTAGGTATATGAGTTCCTCAGAGCAGAAGGTAAAAGGCAAGGTGGCACAGAACAATATTTAATGAGCAGCAGCCTTCCCAGGGGGTGAGTGAGAGCATGGCCAGTGAGCTGCTGGCACGATCAGGGTGCTGACTCCCTTTCAACCTTGAAGACACAGAGCTTGAAGGGCCACAACACATGGTTTTTAGCTCTTTTTTTTTTCTTCATTTTTCGTGATAGAGTTCCTTAGGGTCAGGGACTTCCCTTCTTGTTTCTTTCCCATCTCACCTCCCCCCTGCCCCGCCACTGTTTTCCCCTATATTGTAACCATAGAATAGTCCCTCAACAACCACCACGGGTCCATCATTCTTCTAGTTAAGTGTGTCCTGACGTTGCAGGTATAGACAATGGTAGCAAGTCCAGCATCCTATTGTCAAGATTCTGAAACTTTTTCCTAAAATGACTTTTTCTTACTCAGTCAGTTTCCACCCCACCCCCAAGTATAAATTTCTCATTTAGGGTGCCATAAACACACACAAAAAAGTTGGTCTGTTCAAAATATGTGATCTCCCAAACAAAAGGAAACTAAATATATGGCTAGACACCATATGTTCATAAGTAACTACTTATGCATATTGCCAAATTATTATGTCTTAAAATGAGACTGTAGGGGAGGTGAAGAAAGGAAGGGGGTTAATTTAATTCTATGCTATTTGAAGTTAAGAAAACAGGTCATATACACTTCAACTGGGCGTGGGGTTTTGTCAGTGTGGGATAGAAAGAGTGAGTCACTCTGATCTCTGCAACCCGAAACACCCAGGTGCAAATTGCAAGGGGAAATTTTGAGCATCTTAAATTCATCCACAGATATTTGCTTTATCAGTTATTCTCCCATCGTAAGAATTCACATAAATTCTTTAAAGGATCCACAGCTAGACGAGGAAACCCTCGTGACCTAAGGTTGCCTTGTGAGCTGCAAATACTGACAACTTTCATGAACACACTTCTCTGCAGACAGCTGGGAAAAGTTCACTTTTATTTTGAAATAAGTTGCATTCATTACATCACTCACACCCAAACACATTAGCATGAAACCTGCCAATTGCTTTGAGTCTTTTGTAGGTTTCTATTTCTGAGTATTTTCTAGAAGCAAAAGATAAGTCGGTGAGGAGCGATGAAGGGTGTTAGACTGCTCCCCCTAAAGCCTGAAAGTTGTCTTTTCATTGTTTTTTGGAGGTGTGTTATTTCACTCCAAAGATGAAAGTGTTTGATAGGTGTTCTAAGAGGCTCCTTCACCTGCCATAATTAGCATCTGGCCCAAATTATCACAAAGCAAATCAGAAAAGTCACTTTACAAAGATCACACAAGACACAAATACCCAGTGTCTGATGCAAACCTCAATTTAAAATATTTCCATCACTTCAAAAAAAAAAAGATTGACATGAAAAAACAAAGGTCAAGAATGGTGGTTACACGCCTGGAAGCAGATACTATCCCACAAAACTGTATTAGTGTTTTATGGTTACTGAGACAAATTCCCATAAAGGCAGCTGACTTACAACAACACAAAGTCATCATCTACAGTTCTGTAGCTCAGAAGGGTGAGCCAGACTCACGAAGCTCAGATCCAATTGTTGATCATACATCTTCCTTTCTGGGGACTCCAGAGAGAATCCCTTTCCTTGCCTACTCCAGCTTCCAGATGCCACCTGTTCTCCATGAATGATGGCCCCTCCATCCCAGCCACGCCAGTCTCACCCAGGCATCTCCCTGGTTTTCTCTTCTTCTGCCTTCTTCCTCCGTTTGTCAGGCCTCCTGTGACTAGACGTAGTCCACTCACATCGTCAGGATAATCTCCCTCTCTTAAAGTCAGCTGATTAGCAAGAATAGATCCATCTGCAGCTCTAATTCATTCCTTTTTGCCATGTAGCCTAAGACATCTACAGGTTCCAAGAGCCAGGATGGATGTCTCCAGAGCCCATTCTCCTGCCTGCCATATTGTTTTCTTTGGCTGGTAGCTGGAATTAATGAAGAGTTATAAATGTTGCCCTTACAAATATTAACTGTTCACCAGAAGTTTTGATGGGCTTCTTAGGGTTCCCAAATGCAATTTTATATATTAAGAACTGAGCTAAGAGATTTAAGAGCCAATTTAAAGATGCTTAACATATAATGACATTTCAACTTTTTAGCTTCTAACCATAAAATTTAAAGATTGAGAAATACGTAAGTTTTTATTATCAACTTTCATTTGAAAGATGATAAAGAAATGTACCAGCATGATGGAAACATTGGCTTCCCACAATTCAACTGAATACTCTTGGGTTTTGTTAACCACCCTTAATTTCATAATCAGATGACTAACACAAATTGGTGTGACTGTGCAGACACAAGGACACACCTCCCTGACCTCAACTACAGGGATGCAACTGGCATTTGGTGCTGACCTCAGGTGCTGTGCCCTTAAATCCACCCCTGCCCTCTTGGAGCCTGGACACTACCCCTTGGGAAAGCACCAGGATGCTGGGAGTTCATGACACTCATGTGGCCTCAGACTTCCTTTTGCTCCCTACCTAGTCTTCCTCATGCTCTGTGAGGTCCCTCAGTATTTTCCATCTCCTTCCCTATGTTCTCTCATGCAGGCATTTTTCTCTAAAAACAAACTTGCAATTCTAGTCCCATCTTGGCATCTGCTTCTTAGAGGTCCAGACTAGTATATCATTCATTCATTCATTCATTCACTCATTCATTTCTTTTAAAAATATTTTTTTAATGTTGCTGACACACTGCTCTAGGTAATAAGGGAGACTGCAGCCACCTCCTCTAATGGGTTGTAATTATTTCTCTGCCTTCATCTAGCGTTGTGTGTTGTGCAATGGGCTACCAGCACTCCACAGCTGGGGCCGGGGCGGGTGGAAGCCTGAAGTCAGAGACTTCATCTGGCTCTCCCATGTGAGTCCAGGAGTCCTGCTTTTCTCAGGCCATCAGCACAGAGCTGTCCTGGAAGCGGAGCAGCCAGGACGCAAACTGGTGCCCACGTGAGATGTGGGTGTCACAGGCAGCGGATTTAACAGCTACACCAAAACTCTGGCCCTCAAAGGATGAGTTACCATTATTCCTGTTTCATGGATAAGCAAACTGAGAACTGGGGAGAATGACTTAGCAGGGGATTCCCTGAGACAACAGCTTTGTTCACTACCAAACCTCAAACTCCCCATCACTGCGCTGTGACGCATCCCCTCTGCTTGGTGACAGCTCTGTTACTTTTCCAGTGACGCCTGCATGTAGGAACAGCCAGTTTTCCAAATCTTGGCTTTATTGCTTCCATTTAGATATATGTGGGTTGCAGGAGTCACTGTAGAATAGGGTAACGGTGTTTGCCGACTATAGTTTTGCAAGGTTAGGTCAAGGAGGACACAGCTGAGTCCTCACCAGGTGTAGGTGTCCAACTCTCTTCTGCTACCTCAATGGAGCCAATGGGATGAATGGAGACTTGGCCTGTCTACATTGTCTGCTGGGCACAGCCTGGGTCTGCCAAGCTGATGGCAGACGGTTGCACATGAAATCCATATGTAGTTTTTGGTAACACACAGTTTCACAAGATTTTTGAGCACTTTTCACATGCATAGATTGCAAAAATGTTTTGCACCAAAATAAACATGTTTTATTTCATTTTCCCAGAGCTTTCTGAAGTCCCTTTGTGCATCAGAAATGTTCTGAAAGCCTAGCCAGGCCCACTGCAGAACTAGCCACAACAACCCAGTTTTCAGCTGAGAGCAGCCATCTCAGAACTGATGCAAACACATACCATGATGTCCAACGTCAACTAGGGTGTCCTCTATGCCTGACTCAACTTCACCGAGGCCCAGGCAAGGAAGAGGCTGAGACGCCGTCAGCTTCTCTGAAGTCAATTGCTCAAAACCCTTGAAGAAGATAATTAAGAATTTGTGAGAAGCTGATAAAGGCGGGTAGAACTATCACAAGCAAAACAACATTAACAATGCTCTTGTTGAGAAGACTCTGGAAACCAAAGCCTACTTCCTGAAACAGGTCCTATTTTCCAACTTCAGGAGGCTAACTTGGGGGCAAAGAAATAGTCAATGAGAGAGGTGACCTTGGGTAAACAATTTGCCTCCATTGACCTCAAGCAGGAAGTATGACTATGGAGTCAAGCTGGAGGCCCAATGTGCAAAACTGAAGACACTTCTGTTCAGGCTCTCACAGGGGAGGCCCCCTTGGCAGCTGAGAGCATGGGTCTCCTTCACCATGCCCAAGACATCCATCCCATCCATCTCACCTTGCTCCATCCCTACTCAGTTTCCTTATCTTGAGATTACAGCTTTTTTGCTTTAATGACTTCCACGTTGTCTTGGAGCTGCCTTTAAAAATTCTGAGACTCTGTGACTCTATGAATTCCAGTTTCTTAAAGAAAAATATCTATAAAGCCACATAATGAAAAAAATCCACTCTGGAAAAACAAATATGAGTTTCCCAGATACACCAACAGGTACTTCAACAAATCACTTGTGTCTCTTTCCGCAGCTTCATTTGCAATCTGCAGCTGATGCTGAATTGACCTATTTTCTTTGACAGATGGCTTTCAGGGGGAATCGCTCCAGGAGTTTCTTATTAAAAAAGGAAATTAAGAAGAAAGTTCAACCAATTCTACATCAATAGATGAAATGAAGTTATGCCTAATGGCAGTGAGCCATCTGTAAGAATGTCGTCATAGAATCTTCTTAAGAAACCTGCTTTCTGTACCGGGCAATGATTGTTTCAGGAGATGAAGTTACACCAGATTTTCAAGGGGTCCCTGAAAGCACCAAGATAACTCGGAGAACAAAGAACAGAGCTGGGGCCTGGAGAGATGGCTCAGTGGCTAAATCCTCTTTGCAGGCACCAGAATCCCTTGTGGATGCTGGTTCATATCCCAACTGCTCCACTTCCCATCCAGCTCCCTGCTTGTGGCCTGGGAAAGCAGCAGAGGATGGCCCAAAGCCTTGGGACGCTGTACCCATATGGGAGACTGGAAGAAGCTCTTGGCTTTGGATTGGCTCAGCTGCAGCCATTGTGGCCATTTAGGGAGTAAACCAACAAATGGAAAATCTTTCTCTCTGTCTCTCCTTCACACCATCACAATCATATATGTTGCAAGATAAAAGATGGGCTTTGTCATACGTAGGGTGGAACTCGGTCATTTTTAAAGCTACGAGGCTTTAAAGAAAAGGTCCCTAACTTGATTCCACATTTGACTGAGCTGCAAGATCCCAACGACCAGGCTCAGCCAAGCAGAAAATGTTTGCCAAACTGCAAGGCCTGTCGGTTCAGGTCTGAATAGCAAGCAAGCTGCTCTCCTCCGTGCCTCAAAGACTTTCTTCAACACATTTCAAGAGGGTCATGGAGAGAGCCCATCCACCACCCGGCTCCGACTCTCTCCAGCTGCTTTTGAACTGTGAAGTGGTTTGCTTCAACTAGCAGGAGAAAAGGGAGAGGAGACAGAAACCAGAGCCCCCATTAGCTTAGGAAGAAATTAAATCATCAATACATGTACGGGCAAGGGGCCAGCAGGCAGTCAGCACCGAGAGCATCTTCCTCCTGCATCCCATTTCCTTCAGCCCCTCATCTCAGTAACCCAACCGCTCTCTTGTATTTTAGTTGACTCTTTCAGCTCAGTGATGTCTCTCCCTAGAATGTGCAAAACCCTTTGGGCTCCTCTGCAGCATATGGCTTCCCCATGGCTTCTTACTTTACTCTGTGGAGCTCATAATACTGGCTTCACTCCCGTGCCTGTGAGTGGGACTGACTTTGCTTTTCTCTGTCTGGCTGCCTCTTAATCCTCCTGGAACAAACAAGAAAGCCTTCCCTCGGGTTACTCATACTCTCTTACTCCTGCCCCGTGTCGTCTAAATGTTGTTTTCCCTAAGGAGATGGCAAGTTCTTCTGTTCATTGGCAGCTATTTCAGGTCCTGCCTTCCTCCTCTGAGGCTGAGCTGCTTTCTTCTGTTCATGTATTAGTCAGTGTGTTGTCATGGATCAGCAACACCATCATCAGCAGGGAGTTTGTCAGAAACGCAGCGGCCCGACCATCGGAACCAGAATTGGTATTGGAACAAGACCTAAGGGATGCAAGTGCATCTGGATAGGTGGTGAGAATTTGGACAAGGGCCAGTTGATTATGGACCCCAGAGATCAGGAGGTCTTTCTGAAGAGCGAGTGACATTTGAAAGACCGAAAGTGGGATGCTAACAAACGGCCCAAGGGGAATGACTGAACCAATGACACAAAAGCAGGCAGGAAGCCAGGGCCACTGAGCAATCGTGTAGTTAGGCACAATCCAGCTGGAAGAGGACCTCATCTTCATGCAGATCAGAAGCGAGAACCACATATCTGCTCGGACGCTCTCCTCCAGTAATAGACAAACCTGGGAGACAAGCTTCCGGCAACGTAAGAGCCAAAGACGTTGGCAGCGTTGAGTCTTCTATGATCCGAGAGTGACCAAAGCATTCGACCTCCCGCACTGCTCCCTTTACTTCCTGAAAGGGGATCAAACTGAGATGTCCCTGGGCACTTAGGAGATGGGAAGCCATGAGATCTCTGTGGATTTTCTCTGAGTGGACCAAGATCAGGACTTCAGTCTGGTTCCTGTCTCCTGAGGATCTGCCTCACATACGATGTCGTCTTTCTGTTATTTCAGAACTCCCAAAGGGCTCTGCTTGCTCAGACTGGGACACACCCTTGAAGTTTAGTAACATTGCTGATAAAAATTACAACAGAAATCAACACAACACAAAATGATGACCTTGAACAATCACCGAGGAAAAACACAGCAGTTACGTGGATTATAAGCACCTACATTTCACTTCATAATTGGAACTACATTTCTTTTTCCCATATGGTCATTACAAGAATAGAGAAAATCATTTATTATTTATTACCATGATTTTTTGACTATCGTCATTTGTTTGGGGTAGTTGTCCAGTTAGTTTTGTTCTGTTACAGCACCAGATGAGCTGCTGTAGTCAGCTTTCACATCACGGCCTGTGTCCCCTGGTCTGCCTTTTTTCATTAAGTAGGACATGTTCTTGCAGGCGAGTCCAAGAACACAAATTCTGGGTGAATGGAGCCAATGGACATTGGGAGGGTGACGCCATCAACCTTGAATCGGTGAAATCGGCAGCATTTCAGAACTATCCAAAACGTTGGACAGAACCCTCGCAATATGCACACGTTGAGACCCTGGGTTGATAGGAGGTGGCGGTCCCTCATCCCTGGGCACTGGGACGTGTGGAAAGTCATGAGTAATTTCCCCCTTTGACTCTCCCCTTTCCCCAGAAACAACAAGAAGAAAGAGCAATTTGGGAAGCAATGAATACACCCAATTTTCCCTAAACCTCAATTTTCCCTAAACCTCAATCCTTCCCACCCTGATCTACCACGTTATCATTATAAAACATAAAATTCATATTAAAAAAGAAAATGAAAAAAAAAATTGCCATGCTGTTTCTTCTCAATTTTCAATCTTAAGGGGAAATGCCTTGCAATCAAGGGTTCCTGAGTTTTCCAGTGGGGAAAAGAAAATGTGAGTTTTTATAGAAAAGTGGACAGGTAACTTACATAAACGTATACCTGAACACAGCATCTTTTCGAATATGCCTGCCTTTGCCAGGACCTGTGCCCTTCTCAGTCTTGTGGGAACAAAGCACACCAAACTGAAGACCTTGCCACAGGTTGTCGCCGAAGGCCAGGCCGAGCATGGGGCACTAAAGACGGGTACCCAGGTTGTAGAGACTCCTAAAGGCTTCCATCCTTGTTGGTTTCTTCAAGGACAGACTCCACCCTGCTTCTGTGGCCTTGCCCTTCTAATACTTCCTCCCACCAGGTTCTCCAGTCTGGAATGACCCCTTCTCTAGAGTCTCTTGGGCTGGCAGCAGACCCATTGCTGGTTTCACTTGGTGAGGGTGCCAGGTGTGTGGATAGATGAGGTGCGAACGAGCACCTAGCCCCTAGCATCTCCACTCTGTTTGCTAATCTATTCAATCCACACAGTGCAACTGTGGAGGTCGGAGGCGGGAGGTGCCTTGTCTGGCTCACTTCAGACTTTCACTTCCAGAACCCCTAAATAATGAAGAAGGCCAAATCATTGTCAGCTTGGAGAGGGGCAAAAAAAAGAGTGTTCCTAAGCTCTGGGCTGCTGAGTGAACTCTAGAAATCTGCCCACCCCAGAGTGTGGAGGGAGGCCTCTGATGACTAAGCAACAGCAGAATTAACACAACCTAGAGCTGGGGAATCACTCCCAGAGCTGCGAGAGCTTGTTCCTTCCTGGCAAAGGAAAGAATCTGCCTCAGGTGTGTGCATCCGTAATGAATGAACACTCCAAAACCAAGAAAGTAGAAGCATTCCATAAAAATGACTTCATCCCAAGCGGCCTTTACAATTATGAGGCAGGAGCTGATGTCTTTCGGCCAAATATGACCTCACAAATGCTACCTTAACACTCACCAGAGCCTCCTCCAAGACCCACGCAGAGGTATTTATTCATCGCAAAAGATACTTGCTATGGAAAAATTTGGAATATTATACAGAGGATGTGAATTTAGAGTCCATTTCTTGTGAGTCTGCAACCCTATACATTATTTGACAGTCTCTTCAGGGTTTGAATGCAATTAACATAACACATAAAGATATTGATGGGAGATAGAAAATTAAAGCAAAAACATGAAAAACATCCAAGAGAGAAAAAGAAACAAAAGCCTGAGGAAGTAGAGCAACAATAGCACAAGCAGAATTTAAAACTTATATGCACATATATGTTCTACAAAGCAATATTTTTAACTCATTAGCTAGGTATTCGATGCCAAATATTGGTTGGTACGCAGTATTTGCTGGATGAATTCATTGATCAATCTGTAGACACAGCGGTTTGGAATTGGTGTTTTACCCACAGATGACCCACATTCTTAACTCTCCTGGAAATGGACCGTGTTGACCTGGATGATTTTGTCTTTCACCCTGTCCTTTTTCTCACCTAGCAAGCCCCCTGAATCTGAGGAGTCCGAAACGGGGAAAGATTCAATGTGCAATGTAAAGTAAGAAGGTTCTTACACGGAGCGCGCCAGTCCTCAGCTGCCGGAAGCGCCGAGGTTCTTCCCTTCGCATCGTACTTCCTTCATGCTTTTCTCCCACGATTTTTCTGCATAAAGTGAACACAGAAAAATAACTACAAATTTCTAAAAAAAACAAAATCATGTCTATATTATACAGATAAATATGCTCTCTGTCTCAACAGGCAGAGTGGGATGGTTGAAAGTGTCTTCTTCAGCAAGAGGAAGGCTGTGCTTAACTCAGATGATCGTGTCTTTTTTTTTTTAAGATTTACTTAATTGTTTTGAAGGCAGATAAGAGAAAGAGTGAGAGAGAGTGCTGTTTCATGCTCCAAAAAGCTAGCGACGCCAGGGCCGGGCTACAAAGAAGACAAAAGCCAGGAGCTTCACTCGGCTCTCCTATGTGTGTGCAGAGGCCCAGGCACTCAAACCATCTATTACTGCTTTCCCAGATTCTCTGGCAGGGAAGATGGAACAGCCAGGACTCAACAGGCACCCAAATGGGATACCAGCATTACAGGTGGCAGCTTAAGCAGCTGAGCACAACATCGGCCCATCCTTCTCTTTTCAGGAACACCCATCTCGTGCTTGGACGAGAAGACAGGGCTCACCCCCCCAGGTCTGGGTGTGGTGACAGGGTCCAGGCCCCCAAGGCCTAGCAAGGGACTTCACGCACATTAATTCAAAAGGTGCTTCAGGACGAACACACCCCCGGAAGGGAAGGCGAAGTTCCATACCAAAGAACTCACAGAAATTATGGGAGTCACTGTGGAAGCGGCATTTTCTATAGATGCCATGCCATCTTTGCTTCCTCTATTATAAGGAAGTAGAGGTAAATAGACCAGCTTCTAAACTGCAGCAAAGATTTCAGTCCTTACTGGGCAATCCAGATGTTCATATAACCAGATTTAAAAAAAAAAAATGCCATTGATTGCCTTTTTGGTCAAGTTATCTTGTACATAAGTTGGCATTACCCTATATACAACCGGCTCCTATACACCTTAAAATGGCTATGGGGTACTATTCAACCTTCTCATGTCTATTTTCATTTTAGTATTTAGCACTTTATAGTGTTGAAGCACAATTTTGCTGAACTTGGCAGATTTTAGGATAGTCTAAACTGGCTTATAACTCTAACAAGGCATATGTCAACAGCTGAGGTGCAGAACAGTTTTAGGAGGGGTGTGCCGAGAAATCTTCTATGCCATAGTGAGGACTGCCACATCGTATGGCAACTCTGGGTTTCATTTTCCAAGAAACCTCCATGCCATCTTCCTTAACCACTGCACTAATTTACACTCCAGCTATGCTGGGCTACCGCTTGGCATTTCACTTCTTGTAACTCCCTGTCACTCTGGTGCCATCTCTTCCTTCCCAACAGCACTGACCTGAGGCTAGACTTCTGGGACCAGTGCTGTGGCTCCTCAGGCTCAGCCTCCACCTGCAAGCCCCAGTATCCCACAAAGATGCTGGTTTATATCCCAAGCTGTGCTTCCCATCCAGCTCTCTGCTCGTGGCCTGGATGACTCCAGTCCTAGAAACCACATGGGAGACTTGAAAGAAGCTCCTGGTCCTGGCTTTGGATCGGCTCAACTCGCACCTTCCGGGAGTTGTGACCATTTGGGGAGTGAACCAGATGAATGGTCTCGCTCTCTGTGTCTCTCCTTCTGTGGGTAAATTTGCCATTCGAGCAGTAATGAATACATCTTAAGTAATGTAAAGCCTTCTTCCGTCCTCTTGCTGGGGGATGCACAGCAGGTGCCAGCCTCTGTGAGGTCTCATTTGGAGACTGACTATTTTCATCACTACTAACCCTCTTAATGTCCCATCTTCCGCTTCACACAAGACTGGAAGCCTGATTCTAATAGGACCTGGATCTAATTTAGGGCTCAATGATCATCTTTTGAGTGAATGAGTAAATGAATCAACAAAGCCCAGGGAGCTTCAAAAAGACCGTGGAAAAATGTGTCTTATAAATAAATTATGTATGGACTTAAAAAAGTTTTCCTTCATCAAAATACACATCTTTCAAGTTTGCTTTTCCATATAGTGTTTGAAGTTCTCATGTGTATGGTCATGTGTAGGTTGGCATTTTTTTTCAGTAAGTTCTTGTAGGGTCCTGGGCAGTGACCCAAGCCCTGGGTGGTGACCTGGGACCTTGGGTGGTAACCCAGGCCCTCCCGCACGCAGAGGAGGGCTGCTGACTTAAGCATTTCCATGTTCTCTGCAGCAGTCTGCACCCCGAGTCGCTTTCTTCCTCTGGGGAGTCGTTTCCTGCACTGCATGCCACCCCACAGAAGCTGCAGGGGAGGTGTTTTTCCCCCTCTATAAATAATGAAGATTCCCCACAGGCAACTCATCCCAAACACGCTCAGAAACACTTAGCAAATATTTTGCGGAAGAATCATTATACTCCCAAGACAGCAGAAATGCCTCCAGACCAGCCAGGCCAAGAAGCACTGATAAACTCCGGGGAGGGAATGAGCTAGCCAGGACTACAGTTAATTGGCAATGTTTTTCAAATTAGATTTTTGTCCAAAAGTAAATTATGTACTTTGCTAATCTCTGCTCCTGTTTTATTGCCTATGACTGGATTTTATAACAAGAGACAACTGGGCCCTTCGAGAGAAGCCCGCTGGCAGGACACAGCTCTGGGTGGGCCTTGCTTGCCTCCCCCACACATGAACTCCACTGCTGGGCAAGTAGCTGAAAAGAACGTGCTTGATTGAGCACAGTGCCAGGCACATAAAAAAAAAAAGTACTACAAAATGTTCCTATTGTGGTAGTTACAATGTATTGAAGGTATCTTATATTCTAGGCTGGATACATAGTTTTTATTTTTTAAATATTTATTTACTCTTATTGGAAAGCCAGATATACGGAAAGGAGGAGAGACAAAAAGATATTCCATTTCCTGGTTCACTCCCCAAGTGGCTGCAACAGTTGGAGCTGAGTTGAGCTGAAGTCAGGAGCATCTTCCCGGTCTCCCGTGTGGGTGCAGGGTCCCAAGGCTTTGGGTCGTCCTTGACTGCTTTCCTAGGCTACAAGCAAAGAGCTGGATGGGAAGTGGGGCCACCGGGATTAGAACCAACAGCCATATGGGATTCTGATGCGTGCAAGGCAAGGACTTTAGCCGCTAGACTTCCGCACCATGCCCTACTTGTTTTTGTTGTTGTTGTTGTTGTTGTTTTTAAGATTCAATTGTTTTAGTTGAAAGGCCAAATACAGCGGGAGCTGTAGAGACACGGAGGTAGAGAGATCCTCTAAAGCTGGTTAATTCCTCAAATGGTCATGCATGCCAAGGCGGGGCCGAGCCAAAGCCAGGAGCCTGGAACTACAGCTGGGTCTTACATGGGTGGCAGGGGTCCAATGCTTGCATCATCTTTGGCTACATTCCCGGGTGCGCTGGCAGGGAGCTGGATTAGATGCAGGACAGCCAGGACTGGGACCTGCGCCGTGGTCCGGGATGTTAGCACTACAAATCCCAGCGCACCTGCTCCACAATCCTGGCCCCACACAGCTGATATTTTCTGACAGTACAGTGTGGTAGTTACCTGCACAGATTAATCCCTCCCAGCACCCAGTTACAAACTATATAACCTTGCACAAGTCACTTCTGTGACTGCTTTAAAGACAGTGGGTCTTTCACAGACTCGACCTACATTGAAGCGAGTTAATCTATGTAAAGTACTTTTAGAAGAGCCAAGTGTCTGGTCATAACTCCTCAACATGTCGGTAAATGTTATTCTTCAACAACGCCGTTTTTTCCATGAAGCAAACATGCTAACATTGCTCCTGGACTGAAATACTGCAACCATATTCTCAACTTGGTTAGCGCCCAGCACAACAGAGCGCCCTCTCGCGCTCAGCTCCTGCAAGAAACGCTAGCAGGAAAGGTCATCGCACAGATGTTCAGCTGAACACTGCAGGCGGCTCTCGCCCTTCTGGAACACCATCCGCCATGCAGACAAGTGCCTTCTGCTACCATGCATTCAGCAAAATACATCCCTTATTTTATAGCACGAGATCTCCTTTGCACGTCCCTGTGGGTTCTGACACGATTAGTGATGAAGTGAAATCAGTATTTCACGATGTGAAGCAGCCTCCAAACTATTGGATCCTGGCGCACCATTCATCGTAAACAGTGTCAAAATACAAAGCTGTTTTGTGGCTGCACTATAAAATGAGAACTAACACTGGTCTCATTTTGTCCCTGCTCACACTCGCACATCGAGGGCCCCAATCCAACCACGTTCTCGGGCCTCCTCTTGGAGCGCCTCTTGGCTGCTGCTACAGGAGATTTCTGCTGCGAACAAATCTTGCCTTGCTCCAAAAATATTAAATTAATCAAAGCATCTATTACTCTATCTCTAATTACTAAGATAAAATTAGAAATCCCAGCTTTTTTTTTTTAAAGAATATAGAATAACTTATGTTATACAAATCCAGGCTATTAAAACACCATGCTTAAAAACTTACCCCCAGAGGTGCTTTGTTTTGTTTAAAGGGGAAAAAATGTTGATTAGGCCATCAACTAGGATCATAACAGATAATGCAATAACAAATGCCTTTATGCACTTGTCCCATTTGTAAATACAAGCTGGCTTCTGGGGCTATTTGGAAAAATCTGTCAATACAGTGAAAGTTAACAGGGTCGGGACTACTATTAAACGGATTCTCTCTCCCATTGTTTACAAAAATACCTCCCATGTACATTTGTGAGCAAACTGTCATTTTTTTATAGCGTCTACTTTGTATAAACATGCCAGGCTTACGCCAACCGTCAGAGCCTGGGCTAATGACCGATTTATCAATGTTTCTAAGCAAACAAACAAGCAGAGGTCAGTAAAGAATGAACTTTTCTGCGTTTCAATGCAGAGGCTTCCGTACTACAAGCCAGACCATCCAAACACGAAAATATGCCTCAACGGGTTAAATCCGTAACAGGTTTATAAATAACAGCTTTTATAATTAGTGTACAGATTCTACAGCATGATAATGTCTTTTTAATAAGTAAATGGCCACTTACCTGATTGTAAAACTGAGGGAAACGCTACTGGAAGTTTACTTTTCCTAACATAATTCACACAAAAAGTAAAAACAGGATAATTTTTAATGTAAAGCTTTAGGGTCCGGTGCAGTAGCCTAGTTGCTGAAGTCCTCGCTTTGCACACGCTGAGATCCCAAATGGTTGCCAGTTCGTATCCCTGCTACTGCACTTCCCATCCAGCTCCTTGCTTGTGGCCTGGGAAAGCAGTTGAAGATGGCCAAGGCCTTGGGACCCACATGGGAGATGCTGAAGAAGCTCCGGGCTCCTGGCTTCAGATCAGCTCAGCTCTGGGGACCAGTTCAGCTCCGACTGTTGTGGCTGCTTGGGGATTGAGCCAGCAGACAGATCTTTCTCTCTGTATTGCCTTCTCTCTATATATCTGCCTTTCCAATAAAATAGATAAATCTTTTTAAAAGATAAAGTTTTAAAAATCTTGCTTACTGAAAATGTGTTTTTATTATGATACCAGTGCCAGTCTCGAATCCTTCTCTCAATATGCTGTTCCAGTTTTCCTTATAAACACTCAGCCACATCAGGTTAGTGACGCACAGTGAGCCGCGGTCCGTTAGGTTTAGAGACAGCGTTGAACAGAGTGTCTGTGTTCTGGGATCTTAGCCCAAGCCAACTGCAGCCCCTCCCACACACATCGATTTTGCATTGTAATTTAATTACATCAATCCACTGTACTGGTGGGCACTAGAAGATTCCAGATCACTTGAGCTCTGATCAGGAAAGACCGAATGGTACGGTACCCAGTCCCTCTAGATTCAGTTTATTTTTTGATGTGATTCATATTTTTGGGACCTGAAACCATACTGGACACTTTCCCCAGTGTCTGCTAGAAGTGAATAATGCATGGATCCATTATCTTTTGGCTCATAGGTTTGGGGAAAAAAATCCTAGCTTATTTTGAAGGAGGCTCCTGAGCAACTAAAGCCATGCCGTGTCCTTGGCATATACATATATATACTACATACTGTGAGACGAGTCTCGCTGCCAACAATCCAGAGAATCTTGGAGATTTCCAATAAGAACCAACCTTACAGGACCTTAACATTGTCCCTAAGATGAAGAATCCCACAGCCGCTTGTTCATGTATACTTCCCGCTGTCTTGCACACTTCCAGGGTGGGATGGCCATTCCTGCGGGTCCTGTTAAGACTGGGCAGGGTGCCCTCAGTAGACGGGCAGGCTTGAGCTCGGAAAGCAGAGTACCCTGCAGGTACACAGCAGCCAGTGTGCTGCATGAATGCTCACGGCTGTCTAAGTAACCACCGATTCCAGGGTGTTCTGTGACTGTGCAGGCTGCAGCACGCCAGATTAGAGGGAGGGAAGACAGAGGCTTGAGACGTGATTACGCCTTTCTGGGCAACAGTTCCTGTAGCGCTGGTGGAAAGGGGATGTGTATTTGCAGAATGTCACAGCTCAGTCATCCAGGACTGCACAGCATTCCCTTTTCAGCAGATACGCTGCCAGTTCATGTTAAACATACAGCACGTAAAAGCCATCTGCACATGTTCCAGAAGGCTCGCTAGCATGAATATTACTAAGTGCTCGCGGTATTCATTTCTTTAAACACGTACAAGGCGACTGCCGAGTTAGGCCCGCGGACGGGTGAGCTGTGCAGTGGTTTAAACTTTGATGATTCCAATTTGCTGCCACCTGGGGTAGAGGCTTTTGGAATGCCTCGTTACTGAAGCCTCTTAATTTCTTGGCAGGAGTTGAGTGAATTCTGGGCTACTCCATGCAGTCAGCTTAGCACTAATAGATTTTTAAAGACAAATGCATTTAATGTTTACGCTCGGCGGGCTTTGAAAAAGCAAAGCAATTACTTACACAGCATTAATTACATGAGCAGCCTCCTCCTGACAGTGTAGGTTCTTGTTTACTGCAGCCATTTCTGCATATCTACACTTTAAGTGCTGGAAAAACAAAAACAAAAATGACAACCCTGACCAAACATCTTCATCAAGAACAGGGCACAAAACTACCTGGAGTCTTTCTGATCTGGGGTGTAATTGCCATGCAGGGAGTGTGAAGACCTGCTAACCCTTCCTCCCTGTGTAGCCCATTCTATTGCAGGACACCTGCGGGCTCAGGCTCCTCCCCTCTTCTCCCACTTCCTCTGGCACTGCTGCTCCAGCAGATTCCCCTGGATCCCTGGGAAGGTTTTCATTCTGCACACAGCCCCTGAGAGGGTATGTGCTCTCAACCAGCCAGGCCCTCTGCTCTGTTTCAGAGGGTCTTCTGAAGCCTGCTTCGTCTGCACTCGGGGAGGGCTTCAAGCACCGGGATGGGGGCTGGCTTAGACCTGCCTCCCAGCCTGGGTTCAGCATTCGCCACTTCAGCAGGAGTTTTCTCAGGGACACAGGTTTATAAAGAACTCTCTCTTTTACACCTGTCTCTGTGGAACACAGTCCAAGGTAGGGCTTGTCCACGAGCTCCTCCCTGGGAGCAAGATTGCATTAAGCTCTGGGGACCAGTGGCATCCCATCAACTCCCTGGCGCTGAAATGTCATCCACTTCTCCAACCATAGCAGCTCTTTTCCTCCCGTCTTCTTTGTACAGTATCCTGTTTGTCTCCTTCCCGGTGTTTGTGACTATTTAAGGTCACTTGCTTCTTGGCTGCGTGGCCTTGATGACTGGGTCTCTCACTAGCAGTCAGGCATCGAAAGAACAGAAGCCACATCTGTTGCAGCATCAGCACCCTGCCTGGCACCGGAAGAGGAAATGTGTGTCCCTAGCACCTGCTGCTGTCTCTTTCCCAGCTACACTGGACACTCTTTGAAAGCTACACAGTTTTGAAGAAGGACAACTGCCTGAGTGACTTGCGTCATGAAAATCTAAGAAGTTAAAAACAAAAAAAAGAAGAAACTCTTTTGGGGGACCATTCATTTTTTCTTGAACCATCTGAGTTAGATTCACCGTATCAAATTTTCCAAATCTAAACATGATGAGATCTTTCAAAATTGCTTTTGAAAAAATTTCAGGTCTACAGGAAAAAAAACAAAATCACCTAAACACTACAAAACACCATGGCTAATTAACACCCTGAAAAACCCCAGAGTTACAGTCAGTGCGAGACCTGTATAAAGCTATTGAGGTTAGCCACTGCCCACGAGGGCACTGCGGGCAGATGTGGAGTTTAGGCAGGAAATCAGAACCGTGGGGTCTGGCGCTGCGGAATAGCTGGCAACACCAGCATCCCTTATGGATACCCGCTGGAGTCCAGCTACTCCACACCAGCTCCTTGATAATGTACTACAGAAAGTAACCAATAACGGCTCAAGACCTTAGGCCCCTGGCACTCATGTGGGAGACCCAAAGGAAGCTCCTGACTCCTAGCTTTGGAATGACCCAGCTCCAGCCCTTGCAGCCATTTGGGGTGTGAATAAGTGGATGGAAGCTTTTCTCCCCCTTCCCCTGCAAACTCTGTTTATGAAATAAATAAATCTTCTGAAAATCCCCCAATGGCATCAGGGAACCAGAATTTACACTCTTTTTTTTTGCAAAGACATTGCCCTCAATATTGCCCTCAGCTTCTCCGTAACTTTATCTTCTTTCCTTGATTGATTGTTTTTTTTTTTAAGATTTATTTTTTATTATTTTATCATTGGAAAGGCGGATATACAGAGAGGAGAGACAGAGAGGAAGAACTTCCGTCCGATGATTCACTCCCCAAGTGAGCGCAACGGGCCGATACTATGCTGATCCGAAGCCAGGAGCCTCTTCAGGGTCTCCCACGCGGGTGCAGGTTCCCAAAGCTTTTGGGCTGTCCTCGACTGCTTTCCCAGGCCACAGGCAGGGAGCTGGAAGGGAAGCGGGGCTGCCGGGATTAGAACCGGCGCCCATATGGGATCCCGGGCGTGCAAGGCGAGGACCTTAACCACTGCACCACCGCGCCGGGCCCTCCTTGATTGATTGTTAATGCATCTCATTCCCAGGGCACACCTTCAAGCCTCGGCACGTGTGGGCACATGCTAACACTCTTTCCCAGAAGCCCTGTTGCTTTAAATACCTGCAGCTGTTCATCGATATAGGGGCTTTTCAAAACTTCCATAGCTGACGGCCTCAAGCATGGATTCTTGTTCAACATGCTGTAACGTTTAAAACACATGATTATTGCCAAGCGAACTACAAAATAAGCACGCTGTGAAATTGTTTCTGTGACCACGTACCTACGTCCCTACCTTTTCATGATGGCGTTTAGTTCTCTTGGATGGCTCTCCGGGAGGGAAGGCGTGTCGCCCTCCACGATGTTGAAGACGATGGACAGGAAATTCGAGCCGGTGAATGCATGACTCAGGCAGCACATCTCGTATAAAATGCACGCCAGCGACCTGAAGACAAAGTCAAAGGGTTTACACGAGGAGCGTCATCCTGTTTGAAAGCTGTGCGTCATGCCAAGACAGTCAGACAGGTCAGAGGACTGGTCGGGGGGGCGTTTCCGCACTCTCTCTAAAAGCCTCACTTCTCTACTGAAAAAAACATGTTTATTATAAAGCAGAAAAACAAAATGACAGAATAAAGTGCAAGGAAGGGAAGACAGAATGAACGCGTTTTTGTCCAAGGAAAATGCTCAAATCAGGAATCAGCGATACGCCTGGGCTGGGTAAGGAACCCAAACGTTTGATCAATGGAGCGAGAAATTTTTTTAATTAGTGAAAGAAAAAGCAAAATGCAACCAAATATTGTCTTCCTGAGGCAGTTTTTGTTAATGTGGCATATGCAAAATAAAATTTAAATCTGCCAGCCTAACCTTTCCTGTGAGGGTTTCCAAGCATTTTGAAAAGGAAAACGGGCCTCCTTCATTGGTTTTCTGAATATGATCCGTTTGTAAGGAGGCTGGGAGAGCAGCTACTTGCAGCTGCAACTGACATGTATAGTTCTCCCTAGAGGACTGGAAGCCGAATATTAAAATTCCAGATCCACCCGACAGTGGATTCACTGTTGGATTAAGCAAACAAATCAGAAACTGAATTAACCATACAAATCAGCAACTGAAACACTAGCAGAAAAATCTTTTCAATAGCTCTTTATCATAAACAAAACCAAGAGGCTGAGCCGATCCGTAGCCAGGAGCCTCGTGTCTCTTGGATCTCCCATGTGAGTGTAGGATGCCAAGGACTTGAACCATCCTCCTCTGCTTACCCAGGCCATACGTGGGAGCTGGATTGGAAATGGAGCAGCCAGGACATGAACCAGAGCCCATACGGGATACTGGAACCAAAGGAGGAAGCTTTGTCCATTAACGCCACTGCATTGGCCCCAAAGCGTGCATTTGTAAAAGAATTCTGCATATGTACCCTGGGACTCTGTTCTAGTAAATAGGACCAGCACTAAAATTCACAATTAATTGAAGTGTGCACTTACGTAACTTTCCAGCGAAATAGAATCAATATCATATTCTCCTATTTTATAGTTAAGGAAACTGGCTCAAAGACACCAAATGATGTGGCCAAAAACACAGCTAAGTAAACATGGAACAAACTTTAGAGTTAAGGCATTTTTCAAAACCCTATACTCTTTCTATTACAGAAACACAGTCGCTGTTACAGAAACAATGTGATCTCAACGCCCGAGATCAATGTAAACACTATAAATTATGGAAATTATTCCAAGCTCCATATACTTTATAGTCTGTAAGACTATAAAATGCCACTTGGCAGAGCAGCACACACCTATATTTCTCTCCTGAGAAAACAGAATTTACTGACAGCACAAAGCATTTAAAAAAACAGTCCTCTAAAGGCGCTGCTTCCCTTCTCCTACCTCTTGTGGCATGAAAGCGTCTGTTTTTAATTAGGTTGGGACGCATTTGACAAAATATATGAGAACAAAGTGATCTATGAAAAAAAAAAACACAAAACAGCGATACAAGATTTTATAAATAGCATAACTGCACAACGGGTTCCCTTAATGGAAGAAGTGAGCTCAGGCGGAAGCAAGGAGGGCAGGAAGAAAACAGCACAGCGACGCCCAGCTCCGTGGTGTGGTAGCCTAAGCCGCCACCTACAGTGCCTGCATCTCATGTGGACGCTGGTTTCAGTCCCAGCTGCTCCACGTCTGGTCCAGCTCCTTGCGTGTGGCCTGCGGGAGGATGGCCCCATGCCCTGGGGACCCTGGCCTCATGTACAAGGTGCCAAAGAAGCCCCTGGCTTCAGCTCAGCTCAGCTATTCCGATCATGTGAGCAGTGAAGCAACACTTGCCTTCTCTCTGTAACTCCAACTTTCAAATAAAAAAAAAATTTTTTTAAAAGGCAGCAAAAAGTAATTTCGCAGATATATAATAATAATATTAACTCTAAGAAATAATATCAGCATACCATGTTCTTGAATGGACGAAGCCAATATCATCAAAATGTCCATAAAATAATATTAGCAATATCTCATGTAGCTTAAAACTTAGAATTAAACATTCATAACAAAGTAAAGCAAAAAGGCAGAAGAGGATAAATGGCATCATCGTGAAAGCCATGAATACCACCTCTGGTATTCTCCATCTCTGGTTCATCTCCAAATGTTGGCGATGGCTGGTGGGCTGCTCTGAGCCACGCCCATGCCAGGCGCCAGGAGCTCCATCTGGGCCTCCTCCCTCTCTCTGGCTAGCACATCAGCAGAGCGGCTAGATTGGAAGTGGTGCAGCCAGGACCCTATGGGATGGGTGCTGGTGCAGCACACCGCGATATTACCTGGTGCACCAAGTGCTGGCCTTGTAGCTATTTTTATCCAAATGCTAATAAAGGTGCAAAACTTGACATTTATTGAATGCCACACAAGCGCTTATAGCAAGAGTTAAAGTACCACATACATTAGCGAAGAAAAGGGCCTTAAAATTTATGCCAGCTTGAGAAGTTAAAAATGCACTGCAAACAACATCAAAGAAAATGTAAGACGAAATAGAAACACACAATTTAAAAAGAAAATGAGCCATCATAAAGTGAATAGACCACCAGCAGAACTGATCAAGAAAAAAGAAATAAAATCCACCATGTAGTAATAACAGGAGTGAGAAGAGACCTTAAACTCTGCAGAGAGTATTAAGGTGATATTGCAAAAATGTTTTCTGACAACAAATTTGACAATCTGAGTGAAGCGAACAGTCTTTTAAAACAAAATACAATGGACCAAATTGGCAGAAGAGAATACAGAAAACCTGAGCAGTCCCTTAAGTGTTCAACTCAGGTAAGCAATTATTACAAAAATAAAGTTTAAAAGGCTTTCCACCAACAAAGATCCCAGACCAGATGGCTTTATTTAACAAGACCACTTAGCTAATTCTTCTAAATATTTAAGGATAAATTTGTTTATTCAAATTGTTTGCTTTGTAGAATCAATAAAATCTTGGAACTTAAACATACTTGGGAGACCTGGAGGAAGCTCCTGATTTCTGCCTTTGGTCTGGTCCAGTCCCTGCTCTTGTGAATTTGCGGCATAAACCAGCAGATGGAAGATCTCTCTCTCTCTTTCTCTCTCTCTCTCTATCTAAATTAATTTTTAAAATACATTTATACAGAAATTCAAAAGGACAAGAATAGCCAATATATTAAAAAATCAGAAAATTTATAATATTAATAATCAAGATTTACTCTTCAATTGTATTACTTATGACAGTGTGGGACTGGCCGTTCCTCCTCTCTGTCCGCCCAGACAAGGTAGATGCAGGCTCTCTCTCTTAACCCAGTTAATCTTGGACTTTTGCCATGGTCACAAAAGCCTGACTCCAGTACTGTGCATGAACAGGAACCCCCAGGACCCCCTCCTCGGTCAACCTCAATCCTGATGTCTGCTTATACAAGCCAGCCGTGCTCCAGGGCGTTGTCCCCTGTGAGCCTAACAGGCCTCCCCTCCCAAACCACTGTGTATCAACTTCTGGTACTTCACCCACTTTAAAGACAGGTACTTTATGTACTTAAATGTTATGAATAATTGAATGCAGCAACATTTACTAGATTGTAGAAGAAGAGTAAAGTTACATAGCGGCAAACATGAATAGATGAAAATATAATGGATATTAGATAAGTCCATTTTTAAGCATTCTATATATAAAACATACAACTGTTGGTGCTAAAGCCAGATGCTCATCAATTATTCATAAGTGCTTCCAATCTTCAGAAAATACTCCACAATGAACAAACGCTCCACGCTGAGGCCCAGACAGAGTCCCAGCGCCGCGCTCAAGCTCACTCAGCAGCACGTCTCTCCAAGACGACCCATCAGCTGTATGAATCTGCCACCGCAATTAACAGCTCTATTATCCCTTCCACTTCAGCTCGGGCAATAGAAATTTCATTATCAGATAAGCATGTTTTTATTTAGAGGCAGCTAAGGTAATTACTAAATTCATAATGGGCTGATTCTTTGAAATAAGGATGATGACACATTCTAAGCTTGTGTTTGCTAAATAGTTAATATTCTTAATGCTTTAAAAAAAAGTTAAAATCCTCCTGTATTTTTATATTTGAGTAGATTGGGTTGTTTTAAATTTCTTCAGAAGCAGATATTCCTGAATCCTAAATTATTAGGTTGATACTGTCTGACATTGCTTTAACTGCTTATTAAACACTAGGGAGGATGTTTTTTTTAAGATAACACTGGGAAAACCAAGATAAAGACTCTGTCTCTTCTCTTTGTGGCGTCCCTGCCTCTGTTTCCTAGCAGACAAGCCTCTGATTGGGCAAGCTATATGTAATTCCGAAGACTTAAATGATGGGTTTCTTAGTTAACTTACTCTTTTTTTTTTTTTTGAAGTTTTTACTTGTTCAATTTGAAAGGCAGAATTAGAGAGAGAGAGAGAGAGAGAGAACTCTTCCACTCCCAAGTTCACGCACCAAATCTCCAATGGCCACAACACCCCAGGTTAGGTCAGGCCAAAGCCCTCAGCTGGATCTCCCTGGGGGTGGCAGGGCCCGGAGTGGCCAGGGGATCCTCTGACACTTTTGCAAGTGTCCTAAAGCTGGAGAAAAGGGATTCGAAAGGAGCAAGCCTTCTCCTGAGGGGCGGGAATCCCATCGCTTTTTTTCCTTTTATATCCTAAAGGCTATTGCAGTCTTGGGCGAATAGCAGGTGTTAACTAAAGTGGACTTGTGCAGGAATTCATCGCTGTGAACAGTCCTCTGCAGTTTCTGGTTGCTTTGGGCTGGGTTTTCCTTTTCTTGGGAGTTGGGGAGATGCCACCAGCAGGGAAGGATGAGGAAGATGACAGGTGGGATATATAGCAAATGACTTCCAGGGCTGGGGGAAGTTAGCAATGAAAAGCCGGACGAGGAACTTCAGACCGGAGCCGTCGTAAGGGTTGCCAAGGAACTGCCATGGCTGGGCCCAGCTGAGTGTCCCAGTTGAGACACCAGACAGCAACAGAACTAACGACCCATTGGGAAAATGCCGAGCCATTGGCCCTGCCGTGCTTCCCTTATCCTCAGCTCAGACACAGGCCGTGTCCAACTGTGTGTTCTCCGGAAGGACGGAGCGGGCTCAGCTGTCGCGTTCCTGCTCTCCGAAAGCACGGAATGCTTGTGCTAATTTGCATAAAATAATTACTTAATTAATAAGTTCTTAGCTACATTGTCCTCTCCAGCTTTGAAGAGCTGATGTAAGCTTCCTCTTCGAGGGAAATGAAATATTCCCCAACAGGCTCTGTTGCTTACAGTAGGACAGAAGGAACACAGTTTCCCACGTGCTCTCTGTGGCGAGACTCACAGCGTTTCCAGGAGAACTGCCCCGCCGCGCACAGCCAGGAGCTCTCCCGCATGTCTGTCACCCAGAAAAGCCTTCACAGAACCGATCTTTAAAGCGAATATCTTCAGCAAAATTCTTAAAAGTAACGAGAAAATTGTAGGAAAGCTACAAATTCCCCAGAGATGGAAATTCCTCTTAACATACAATCAAGCACAGTATCTAGCAATACAAATGCTTACATTTTATAGGATAGTCGAAATATATCAAAATGTAATGGTGCTGGTATGGTAAGGACTCCCCCCTCCCGCCCCCAGGCCCGCTGTGGCTCAGGAATTACAAATCCAAACCAACCAATTAATTTATGAAGAAAGAGAATTTCTGAAATCAATTTAACATACTGTATCAAGTCCCAAATCCAAAAGCCCTTTTTGCTGTAACTCCAGCCACAGAATGTCCAAGAGATAAATTGAGTGCAAACATTAAGTCAGACTCAAAGAGCAGACCGCGCCAAGCTGTCAGGTGGCAGGTGGTGCCACCTGCTCTGCCCCGCCACTCACCAGATGTCTGACTTGGTGTCATAGCCTTGGTGCCTCAGAACTTCAGGACTCATGTAGTGTGGAGTTCCAGTGAGAGTTGTGGCCAGGTCACAGGATCCCATTAGAAGCCGAGACACTCCAAAATCCCCTTCAAATAACAATTAAACATATGGATACTTTAAAACAATGAAAATCAGCCCTGGAAAGCAACAAAGCAATGAATGTCTAATCGAATCAGTTCGTTATGCAGCATTTCACATCATTTTAAAAAGCAAGAAATGCAATACCTTAAATTATACAATGCCAGTGAATTGCTTTAAAATCATAGACTTAGGCCTGGTGCAGTAGCCTAGTGGCTAAAGTCCTCGCTTTGCATGAGCCAGGATCCCGTATGGGTGCCAGTTCTAATCCTGGCGGTCCCGCTTCCCACTCAGCTCTCTGCTTGTGGCCTGGGAAAGCAGTCGAGGACGGCCCAAAGCCTTGGGACCCTGCACCTGCGTGGGAGACCCAGAAGATGCTCCTGGCTCCTGGCTTTGGATTGGTCCAGCTCTGGCCATTGCGGCCACTTGGGGAGTGGATCCACAGATGGAAGATCTTTGTCTCTTTCTTCCTCTCTGTATATCTGCCTTTCCAATAAAAATAAAATAAATCCTAAAAAATAACTGTCAAACCATTTGCTCAGTATGTTGCATGAAGCCAGAAACCATAATACATTCATGAACTCTAACCACATACGTACTAAGTAATTTAGACTTCAACTTCTATCAGAAAATAAGTAGTTTTTACTGGTCCATCAGACAGGTTGAGATCTGAGATTAAATAATGAATGATTAACATTTTGAGGTACATGTACAAAAATTTGAAATGAAAAAAAGTAGACTCTTTAAGGCTTTTGGAATACATATTTTTCAAATTCCTACCAATGTTTTTAAAGATCTATTTCTTTTTTATTGAAACCCAGATATATTTTCAATAAAAGTCAGCCAGAGCTGAGCCAATCCGAAGCCAGGAGCCCAAAGCCTCTTTCAGGTTTCCCACATGGGCACAGGGTCCCAACGCTTTGGGCCGTCCTCCACTGCTTTCCCTGGCCATAACAGGGAGCTGGGCGGGAAGTGGGGCTGCCAGGATTAGAACCGGTGCCCATATGGGATCCTGGCATGTGCAAGGGGAGGACTTTAGCCGCGAGGCTACTGTGCTGGGCCCTACATTCTTACCAATTTTAAGTCGATTATTTTTCAAAAATATGTTTTTTGACTTCAAGTCTCGATGAAGTATCCTCCTACAAAAGGAAAAGTGAGACGTACTGAATCACATTAGCAGAATGAAGAGTGAAAAAAAACACATAGGATGTTCTCAATAGACATGGAGAAGAAATTTGGTAATATCCAATATACTTTCATAATAAAAAGAACCTCCAACAAATGAGTTAAAGGGGGAATACACCTCTAAATTATAAACGCTGCATACGAGAAGGCAAAATAAAACTGAATTGAATAAAGCTGAAAGCATTTCCTATCAGGTCTGGAATAACACACTCATTCAGTATAGCCTTGGAAGTTATCACAAGCAATGAGGGAGAAAAAGAGACGATGGATTAAGCCTCCACCCATCACACTGGCATCCCATACGGGCTCCGGTTTGAGCCCTGGCTGCTCCACTTCAGATCCAGCTCTGTGCTTACTGCCTGGGAAGGCAGCAGAAGAGGGCCCAAATCCTTGGGTCCCTGCACTCACGTGGGAAACCCAGAAGAAGCTCCAACCTCCTGGATTCGGACTGGCCCAGCTCCTGCCAGTGCTGTCACTTGGTGAGTGAACCAGAAGCTGGAAGACCTCCCTCGTTGCCTCGCTTTTCTTGGCTTTTTAAATAAAAATAAGTCTTTTAGAAATAGTCACCTCGGGCCCGGCGCGGTGGCGCAAGTGGTTAAAGGTCCTCACCTTGCACGCCCGGGATCCCATATGGGCGCCGGTTCTAATCCCGGCAGCCCCACTTCCCTTCCAGCTCCCTGCCTGTGGCCTGGGAAAGCAGTCGAGGACGGCCCAAAGCTTTGGGACCCTGCACCCGTGTGGGAGACCCGGAAGAGGCTCCTGGCTTCGGATCGGCATAGTATCGGCCCGTTGCGCTCACTTGGGGAGTGAATCATTGGACGGAAGATCTTCCTCTCTGTCTCGTCTCTCCTCTCTGTATATCCGCCTTTCCAATGAAAAAATAATAAAAATAAATCTTTAAAAAAAAAAAAGAAATAGTCACCTTAACTCTGATTAGATTTGGTCCACAACTTTGGTGAAAATGCTCAGGTTTAATGGGTTTTTACTTTTATTTTGATCAAATGGCTTGAGCTTTTGATAATTCTTTAAAGCTTTAAATTAAACATTCCAACTCTGGGGACTGAGTCGGATTCCTGGAACTCTTCACGGAAGAGATGACAGTTGTCTCGGTTCACGGACAAGGATGTAACTACAACCCACTTGTGCTGATACCAAGGCCAGGGTTTTGCATGTTGGGCTCATGCCAACGAGTCATGGATCCATCCTCTTTTCCTGTGGCCTTCTGTCAGATTGCTTCTCATGCATGTCACATTGGTCAGGTAATGCTTAGGGTAAGGGCTATGTTGACACACGAAACTGGCTGTCCTCCTTACTGTAATTCTGTCCTTGCTTGCAACCCTCCCCACCCCTTCTAGGAACCTAGCATGCTCTGGCACAAAGGATTTTCAAGTTCAGACATGACCATTATAAATAGATCCTGAATCAGAAGGAATAAACATACCTCCCGTGCATGTAGTCAACTCCCAGCAACAGCTGGCTAAACCATTCTATTATTTGATTTTCAGGAAAGATTATCCCAGCTTCTTTATATTCTTGAATTTTACAGTCCAGATCTCGGCCCTGTAACAAAACAGCATAACCTTTCGTGGGTGGTTCAGTAATTTTTAGACTCAAGCTCTGCTAACCATAGTTAATCCACCCTGTTAATCAGAGCAAAGGGCAGACTCCAGTTGGGTTCCTCTAAGCTCTCTAGGTACCTGGGCATCAATCTTGATGTACAAAGACTTGAACAAAGAACACTGGCAGAGCTTCGAAGAGCTCAAGTCCGTATAGCTAAGATGACGGTATTTGAAGAGTCGGACTGAGGAAACTCAAGGGAGCTCTTAGAATTTACTGCTTGTTCCAGCCCACACCTAAAACCAGGGCCCCGTCTGCCTAGCCACTTTGAAAGGGAGGAAGCCTTACTTGGATAAGCACCAGTTAGCCAAACCAGGTGAATTTCACATTCACCCACTGCTACTTCCCAGTCTTCGTAATTCTTCACTTCCCAGGCTCTGCTCAGGTCCCTGCTGTTCTTCTTGCCTATTCCTTTAATCTTCCAAAATGCATAGTCACTCTGCACAAATCAGAGCGGAACTTAACCTCTCTCCCCTTCCAGCAGTGTGAAAGAAGAAGATCTATTTTCACTGCTTTCAGCAAAGTCCAGCTATGTTTAATTTTGACATCGTTCAAGAATTGAAACTCTTATACAGGACAAAATTATCACACACTGCCAAATTATTTTCATTATGCTACCTAAATAGGTAACCATATAAGTGCTAATTTTCTCTACATTTATTATCAATTAGCTTATTTGAGAGGTTGAATGACAGAGAGGAAGGGACCAAAAGCAAAAAAAAAAAAATAGAAAGAAATCTCTACCTGCTGATTCACCCTGCAACAATTCCCAAAAGCCAGGGAGTGACCAGGCCCAAGCCAGGAGCCAGGAACTCCACCTGGGTCTCTTCTGTGGGTGCAGGGGTGCAAGCGCTTGAGCCATCATCCACTGCTTTCCTGGGCACATTAACAAGTAGCTGGATCAGAAGCAGGGCAGCTGGTACCCAAACCTGCACTCTGACACGGAACGCCCGCGTTGTCAATAGCAGCTTCACTGATGTGCCAAAACAGCAGCCCCAACCCCCCTTACACTGAAAGTTTATTCAGTTATAGAACCTTACTGTGAATAGAAGTTAGACATGTAAAACAGTAAGATTCCAATCAGTCATGTGAATTGGATACCTACTGATGACATTGTGGTGAAAACCAGTGCGTTGGGGACCGACTGGTGTTTAGACTCCTTTTAGTTTCGCACACCCAGGCTGCCACGTGCCTTGAACTATCCGAATTGTCTTTTTCTCAATTTAATGACTTAAACATTTCATCAATCTCTGTCCTGTCACTTACTAATAGTAGTAAAATACATTAGCAAGACCAAACACTAATCACAATGACAGATGAGAAACATCTAAGATTGTCCAGCATAAGACCCTTTTATTACCTGATATAAGACCCTTTCTGCCCATGTCTGCTCTAGTGTTTTTCAATTCCCACAGAATGAAAATACTCAATGTTAAATTCTCTTTGACTACTTCTCCACCAGACCCCTTTTACTTTAAAACAATGAAAATTGTTATGAACAGCAATCTGAAAAATGTTCCCTATGGACAAAAATGGGTTGGATGCCAACTGTGTTTGGCGAAAAGGAAATGCATGTCCATGGGGAAACTGTGAGAAAAACAAGAAGCTACACAGATTCCTCATGACAGAGCTGTTCTCGAACGCAAGCAAAGGAAAAGCATTGGTATTCAATGAGACGCTCTAGAAGAAATTACTTCTAATCAAACATAACAGCAACGAACTTATTTGTAATGCAATTTTATTTCCTTCTGGTGTAACGTGCAAATATTTGCTTCACATTTTCTCTGGCACACAGAGTCAAAGATATATGAGACATTCACTTGCATGCTGGCTTAATCTCAGCTTCCGGCTGGATTTGCTGGGCTAAAGGAGGTCAAAACTTGCTGGAATTCAAAACCACAGTGAACTCAAACACACGGCCGCTTGCCAAAAAGGCCACCATTCTCAATCTCCGAGTCTGCCTCTGCGTCTCTTCTCTTTTTAATCATAGTTTATCAAGGTTCTCTCAGATGACACAAGCTGTCCTGTCTCTATTTTTTTGTAAGTTGCACAAAATATTTGTGAAGTTGATCATTATAAAGGTCTGTGATGTTTACCCCAAAACCCTGCTGTCAAAAAGTGACCTGTAAATGTATGTATATTTTCCTGGTCTGGTTTTGCTTTTCCCATCTAAGAGGGCTCTAGTAAAGCCTTCTCTCATACAAAGAAAATCAGAGGAAAATAGATTATTCCTCCTGTCAGTATCTCTTTTAATTATCTCAATATGAAAAACAGCTCCAATGGCAGAAAGGTAATAACCAACATGTCTCCATCTTCTTCCTGGATGGTTTCAGATGAGGAGTGAAAGGAAGAAAGGAAGGAAGGAAGAAAGGAAGGGAAGAAGGAAGGAAGGGAGGGAGGGAGGGAGGAGTCAAAAGGATCTATCAAGGAAGCTACCTGCTGAGTTCTTCTATCAACTTAGTATTTTTTTTAAAGATTTATTTTTATTGGAAAGGCGGATATACAGAGAGGAGAGACAGAGAGGAAGATCTTCCGTCGATGATTCACTCCCCAAGTGAGCGCAACGGCCGATGCCGGGATAGAACTGGTGCCCATATGGGATCCCGGGCGTGCAAGGCGAGGACCTTAACCACTGCGCCACCGCGCTGGGCCCAGTATTTCCATTCTTAAACAGTGGATGGGAGAGGCCCTGCAGGTGGGACAGCAAGTAAGGCTGCTTCCTGCCAGCTGGCATGCCTTAGATGCCTGGCCCAGCCCAGGCCATTTCAGTCCTTTGGGGAATGACGCTGGAAGATCCTCTCTGTCCTTCCCTCATTTCTGTAAATGCACCTTTCAAATACATAAAGCTTTCAAAAAGAAGGAGGCGGGAGAGAAGATGACAACAGCACGGGATGTGTCTGTTAAAACGAACACAAAACTCCAAAGGTTAAATTAATCCAAGAGCTGGCTCCCGTGTTCCTCAGGGGACTCCCCTTACGCCTGATTCTGTGTGTTCATCTCCAAGAAGAACTATGCGGTTTGCATTGGCTGTGTCCTCTAACAGGGCGTCTCAGGATTATTTTCAAAGAACTTAATTAAGGGAGAGATTAAGACATGACAAATTATGTTTTGACATAAAAAAGAATTTGGGTAAGCAGTCTGATTTTAACTCCGCAGTGTGAAAAGCATAAAGCATTTATTGCTATCTTTCACTAAGCTATCTTCCAAGTAAAACTCCGATGTCGTGGATGAAATGTCACTCCTTGGTTTAAGGGGTTCTTATTACAAACTCTGAAAGTGCATTTGACGTTCTTAATTTTGCCTTGAGCGATAGTTAATGATGACTTCTATCGCTAAGACAACAAAAGAAAAAGCACATTTCATTAAAGAAAAGCATATTGACTTTGATTTGAACCAATATTAATGTTGCCCTAAGTCTATATTGCTGACAGAAAATTCTTTCACCAGTGCCGTCCCTTGAAAGTAAAAGCCTTGATATTAACTTCTAAGGTTTTAAAGATCTGTAGCCCAAACAGAACGGTTCAATGAGATTAATAGTGTCTTTGCCATCCCTCCTTCCCCGGGAACCAGCATCAGATTGACTTTGAAATACTAAGACATTGAAGAAAGGCAGGCTAATGCATCAGTCTGGCCTGAATCTTGGATGGTCATTAAAAAGCTCTACATCTTAAAAATAATTTTATTTGCAAAAATTAATCCATGTTTAAAGTTACCAGCAGAACTACTTACAACCAGTAAAATATAGAGCATTCTCAGAAACCTGACTACAGCAAAATCAAAACACTTACAGTCCTTCCAAAAGAGCATCTTCTCAAAGGCCTTCAAAGGCTGCAAGAGTGGGAAAAGCCATTCTGCTGCATCTTATTCCAAGATACAAAGCCGCTCCTAATGAACGCACTGGACTGGCTTCTGAAGGGGCCATCCCTGCCTGCCCTACCTCTCCTGAAGGGGCCATCCCCGCCTGCCCTACCTCTCCTGAAGGGGCCATCCCCGCCTGCCCTACCACCTCTCCTCTAAGTACGGAGTTCCCAAGAGTCTTCGAACTTACACGTGCACCAGCTGCTTGTTTAGAATTCATATCCCCGTGAATCACCAACAGAGATGCATTCTGCTCAAGTAAATCTGAACAAAACCGAGGAACCTGCATTTTTCAAATATCTTAAGTCATGCTGGAAAGGGCCACTCCGTGGTCCCACTTTGAGAAGCAACATTAGACAAAGGCGGGCAGGAGGCACACACATTTAACACTTCATCAGTGGATACATCCGGCCTAACACTTTAAAAATTCCCAAAGGCAAGAGATACATGGAAAAGGCAGGGCTGAGTAACGGTTACATTTAGTCACTTTAAACGCTGTGTCATCACTTAGGAGAAGAGCAGTAAATGCAGGTGGAGGGGCATGAAACGGGCCCCTCCGTCATTGTGATGTGAAGCTTGAGCACAGTTCCCCGTAATGAAGTGCATAACCCGTGGGTGAAAAGTTAACTCAGGTTATACTCTTAAAAGCAAGTGAAGACAAATACAAAATAAAACTCGGGTTCTAAGCAGTTAAAAAAACAGCTTCTGGGGCCAGTGCTGTGGCATAGCAGCTCTGGTAACCCATATGGGCACTGGTTCAAGTACTAACTGTTCCACTTCTGATACAATTCCCTGTTACTGCACCTGGGAAAACAACAGAAGATGGCTCAAGTCTTTGGGACCCTGCACCCAGGGGAGAGACCTAGAAGAAGCTCCTGGCTCTTGGTTTCAGACAGGCCCAGTTCCTGTTGTTGTGGCTACTTGGGGAGTGACCCAGTGGATGGAAGATCTTTCTGTCTTTCATTCTCTCTGTAAATTCATCTTTCAAACAAATCATATTATATATATATATAACTTCTAAACGGTTACCAAAGAATCCCATGCATCACGACATTTATATGTAGTAACACACCTGATTAGCTTGGCTTTAGTCACAGTTTCTTTTTTTCAAATTCTCTTAAAACCAGTGTTCTTTCCACTAAGGTAAATTAAATGAATAGGAATAAAACAGCAGAACATACTATTTTATGCTAAGAAAGCTTGAAACAAGGCTTCCATCCATGAAGCCTCGAGCTGTATGTTTTGTTGTTTGAAGTGATGGTCCCGTTTTTGAACTATAAAGCCCTACCCTACACGTCACAGACTCCGGGGTCTGCCGAGCGCTGTGCAGTCCCGCACGAGTGCCTGTCTGTTTCAGTGAAACTAGTTTTGCTTTTCAGTTATGACAATAATTCTAAGTAAAAAACAAACAAACAAAAAAGGCCTTACCTTTTAACCTTTTATGAGCAGTTCTGAACATTTCATGGTCTAAACAAAGAAAGCAAATCGGACAAGCCATATGACTTTAATTTTGATCCACTTTAAGCTCAGAACTACATCAGCATGTGCAGTGTTCCCACATTGAGCAAACTCCAGACCAAGACAAGACACAGAGAGGTGAAAGGAGCCTGTCTACCCCGAGAGAGCTGCCAGGGAGACCACGATGGCTCGTCGGACACTCGGCAGCAGTCCCAGCAATGAAGAGAGAGACATCCCCACGCGTGGAGCTCCGCGTTAGCTCTCTGCTGTCCGCTAGTTCAGGCTGCAGAACTCGACTCACGTGGTTTAGACACTTTGGTATACACAAGAAGCAGATGAAAACATTTTCTGTTTTTAAGTACAGATTCTTGTAAAGTATCTGACTCAAAGTGGCATCACATCCCTTTGTGTTTAACAATCTGTATGTTTTCTCTTTTTTCTGCGAATGCCCGTGCTAGAGCAGGCTGCAAGCCAAAAACTCAAAGAAATGCGCTTTGACAACGCGATGCGAGTTTGCTATCATTGCCTGTCCTACAAAGCCGTGATTCACTTAGATGGCGGAAGGTTCAACTTGTGATTGTTGCTGAAGGACTATACTACTGTGATAGTATGCGAGGCAATGGTGGGAGGAGAAACTGGGGAGAGAGAAAGATGATGGAAAGCGGGGAATCATAGAAAGAGGACCCCATCAGGCCTGCACAAGCTAGCAGTTAAATGTGGTCCATGGATGAGAAATGCCTGTTAACAGGATGCTAGCTGCACACGTTTTCTCTGCGGAGCTAGGGAAGGGCAAGCTCCAGGAGCCCCACAGCTGCACTCCTGGGTACCAGCAGCTGTCGCCATGGCAACACCCCAAGGCACTCCCCTCCCCAGACTCCTCTCCCCCCCCCTCCCCCCAGAGCACAGCCCTTGGAAACCAGCTCTCAGTGATTTAAAAGGCAATGCAAGTCGATGATCCCAGATTGGATCTTGCACAATTAAAAAGAAAAAATCTTGCAGAAAATCCTCTCTAAGGACATAATTGGGGTCAAAACCACGGGCTGAATTTGAATTATGAACTAGATAAACAGTTCCCCTCATCCAGCTTGCTTCGGGGTCACTGGAGAATTCCTGCAAGCACGGATGGGGCTCCTCACGCCCAGAATCTGCGTTTCTAAAAGTTCCCAAGTGTCTCAGATCACGGGCTAAAGACGACTGGCTCACACACCCTCACTGTATCCCTGCTAATAATGCGGCTTTGCCTGTGAGTGAGTAAGAGAATGTACCGAGCCACAAAAAAATAATCACAGTCCGAGAATTCACGACAAAGAGATCACCTGTCTACAACTTTCTGGTTCAATTTTTTTTAAATAGCATCATCTCTGAGGTCCCTTTACCTAACTACTTGAGAGTGAACACACACATATACAAGACAGTTGCTTCCGGCTCCCATGGGACTCAATAAAATGCACGGCTCTTACTTCAATAAATATGAGGGATTTGTTTGTGGGCACAATGGGTCACGTTTCCATTCTCAAATTTCCCCACTGGAAAATAAGCCACAGAACAAGAACCCAAGACCTAACAGATGGACCTCTGTGTGTAGGCTTGTTAGGGCATTGAAATGTCTATTTAAGCACTAGATCATTGGAGGAGGTTTTCGCATAGCGCCCAGCCCATGCAGGAAACAAACAAAAAAAAAGTTGACACATTCTTCTGTTGCAATTCTTAAGTTACATTCATTTTGACTGAGTTTGTCAAATGGGAAAAAACAGCTCCTTGGAAATGCGTTTTGTCAATTCCCTTGCTGTGACCATTCTTAGCTGTCAGACACAAGACCCGGGGTCTCTCTAGTTCAGTTTTCTGCTTGAGAAGTCAACTTCAAGACAGCTCTTTGCACGAGGCTTTCTACCACGGAACAGATGTTCATGAAGATTGCAAAGGCAGAAGGTGGATCTCACCTCACAGTACTCCGTGATGATACAGAAGTTCCCTCGCTCCACGAAGCTGGCATAGAACTTGACAATGGCTGGGTGGTCCAGCTTGGAGAGAAGCTGGGCTTCCACACTGGCCTGCACAGTCTCATTTGGATTTAGTTCTCCAATAGATATTTCTTTCAATACCTTGCTGCAGTCAATAGATAAGACCAAAAAAAAAAAAAAGACATTTAAAACAAACAATAAGTAATGCACCTAGGTACTGATGAGCCCCTCGTAGTGACCCACTCGTGGTCTCCTTTGAGCAGCTCTGACCAGGTATCTCCTGAGGGGCTCAAAGCCTGTCCCCCAGGCTGTGCCATGGCCTCTTCAAGACCTCTCACATCCACAGCTGTGCTGGACAAGTCTGTACACAGCAGAGCCACAGCTAATACAGAGCTGGCTAGATGGCTCTGTGTCTCGGTGCTCCGATCTGCTTTTGTTTTGCTTTATAAAGATTTATTTCATTTTTTAGTAAAAGGAAGATCTACACAGAGAAAGAGAGAGAAAAAGATCTTACGTCTGCTGGTTCATTTCCCAAGTGGTCACAATAGCTGAGCTGAACCGGAGCCAGGAGCTCCTTACGGGTCTCCCCAGTAGGTGCAGAATCCCACAGCTTTGTGGCCTCCTCCACTGCTTTCCCAGGCCACAACAGGCAGCTGGATGGGAAGTGGAGCAGCTGGGACACACACCAGTGCTCATAGGGGATCCCAGCTGATGCAAGGCAAAGGCTTAGCTACTAGGCTATTGCGCCAGGTGCTCTAATTTAAATGTGTCATTCAAAATCATGTGTTCCCAATCACCTCTTGGCCTTTTGGCTAGATCAAGTGTGGGAAGGGTATAAATGCGGGGTGGGTATGTCGTGATGGTTCCCACCTCAGGTGTGGATTAATGTTGAACATACTAAGGCTTGGGCCTGTGAGTGCTTGCTCTCTCATCCTCTCCTAGCCCTTCTGCCACGTCAGCACAAATGGCTAGCAAAATGCAGGTCCCTCTGTCACGTACGTCCCGGCCTCCAGTTAGAATGGATCCATCTTTTTGTTCTTTACTCATCAGTGAGCCCTGAGCGCCCTATCGCAGCAGCACAAATAGATGCTGGGTCTTTCAGGGTGTCTGCTTCCATCTCTGTTCCATTTTCCTTCTTGCCCGTTCTCTTTGCTTCTGTCTGCCTCACTTTTTCCATTTTTCTCTCTGTCCCTCTCTCTCTCTGCGTATTTTAATGTTCTGTATACATATATACAATCTCTCTGAATACATTTATACAAAATTGTCTGTGTGTCTTACTCTCTTTCTTCCTATCAATCTGCTTCTCTTTGTGTAAACACACACACACATTTCTCTTCTTGTTCCAGCTCTAAGATTTTCCAAATCTATTAATTTAATATCAATAGAACTGATATCTATTATTTTTCTTTTTAAACTATCTTGGCCAATCATAGTTTATTGCTATCAATATTTAGGAGGGGAAAAAAATGCTGTTAAAGTGTTTCCATCAGTGGGAGTTCTCCAGCATGTATAAGTGGAATAAGAGCTCTTTAAATCTCCAAATCATTAATTTAAAAATTGTGATAACTCAATGACAACTGGACCGAAACATCCTCTCTTCCCATCTAAGAAAAACAGTCTGATGAACAAACCAATTATAGTACCCCAGTGTAAACTAGATTGCTTGGGGAAAACACTTAGCAGACCAATTATGCGTGCAAGCAGATTCTGTTGATTACAAGTGAGCTTTGGCTGTTCATCAAGGCAAGTTCTGTAGGACCTGTACTAGAAAACATTTTGCAAAAAATTTAAGATATTTTTTACCTATGCATATTAATGAAAAGTATATTTATAGTAGGAATTCTTTAAATTTAAGTATTTTTTCCCAAAAACTAGATGAATCGTTGGCCCTTGCCAACACAGGCCGTCGGATGCCCTTGTATCAGGAAAGCAGAGTCTGCTAAGCTCCCTGGCGTCCCCATGGCCCATCCAGTTCAGGTGTGTGTCTGTTGCTTGCCTGCTCATGTGGATGTGCGGAAACAGAACTGAAATCCAGCTGGGAGAGCATGAGAATTATGTATGCTAGGAAAATTAAGTCAGATGTTTACTAAAAACTTGATAATGACAAAAGAAAAGAAAAGAAAGGAAGGATGAAAGACAATTTTTTATAGAAATCATGAGTGACCAAGAGTTCACTGCATTACAACTGCACCCCATGGTGGCCACCTGGGCTGGTGCCCTGGCACCAGTGACCGCTCCCTGGTAGTACAGGCCCTGAGAGGGGCAGGGCAGGCAGGGCAAGGCAGCAATGCAGATGGCTTCAGTGATGGGAATCTGCCCCCCCAGGTGGAAGACCTGAGCTGAATCCCCACTGCTCGCTTGCACCTGCCCAGCCTTGGCTGCTGCAGGCATTTAGGAAGCTCTGTCTCTGTCTCCCCAAGTTTTTAAAATTGAAATGTCAAACTCTAGTGTTCTGAACTCATATGACTAAATTCTCATTCTATGTTACAGAAGTTACATCAGGGAAACTTAACATATTATGGCTGTAACAGTTTATAAAAAAAGATGAAGGGATCTCTAACAGGACATTAGATGATGGCGTTACATAAAAATGGATAAAATGTAGAATTAGATGTTTAAAGTGAATGTATCATTTAATAACACCTCGTGTTTAAATTGTTTCCATTATTTGACCAAGTACCAAGCTCAAGTCCCATTGGCTACGAGGGCCTGTATAATTCTTAGGAATGTGTTTATACTGCAAACTTTTCATTCATTCAAACGAGCCTTTCCCTTTAGTTGCTTTATGGTATAAGAGTAGTACTTTCCTTGGGCAATGTGATAGGTTGAGCTTGTTTCTTTTTTAAGGTTCGGGACCTAGAAGTGTTGATGTTGCAGTCAATATACAATTGCGAAGTCTCTCCCCATCCCATCTCTCAGTGACTGATTATGGTTTAAAAAAAAATCATCACTATTATAAGTTAAGGATCCGTTGGAGGAGTTGAGCAGTTGGGTAAGAGAACTGAGCTGTCCTTTTTCTACTCAGAGAAGGGCTGGTAATATCTTACCAATAAAAGTTGGGTAATGAAGCTTTCAGATTTCCTAAAATTTGGATCTTTTAAAGGATTTATTCATTTTAAATGTTTCCCTGATATTTCCATTCTGAAGTCATCCTAACTCCACATGGCAGGGACTGGCTGCCGGAACAAGTCAGCCGCAGAAGAAGGGCACTCCACGGAGCAGCTTCCCAGGCACGCGCTCTGTGATGCCTGCAGGTGGTCAAGGGGGGCTTGAAACACTGCTGTCACTTAGAAAGTGGGAGCATCTGGCCCCCGTCTCCTAACAGACGCTTTAGTGAGCTTCCTAGGTGCTGAACACCTATTGGGTCCTACCCGCTAATGAAGCGGATTCCAGAGAAACCCTACTTCTATTTCCATATTCCATATTTCTAGCATGTGTTCTGTCAAGAATTTGGCAAAGGGATCTAAAGTCAGTAGGAGTGGCGTCTTGGACTGTTAGGGTTCCCAAAGGGGCATGAGGTGACAAGCGAGGCCATGTTTTCCTGCAATGTCTGGATATTAGGAAGCAGCAAGTTCAAGGACTTTCTCATGGTGCTTTGCCAGTAATTTCCTGCACCCTTGCCAGCATGCAGGTGCAGAAGGCACAGTGGCTGGGCACAACAGCAGAAAGCCTTATAGGAACCTGTAACATCTCCTACTGTAAAGGAACAAATGATACCCACGGCCATAAGACACTGATTCTCTTCCTTGCTAACATCAACTATTGTGCAACAGACCGTAAGATTTTACATCTGTTTCCCTGCCACTCCGTCTGGCAGCCTCATGATAAACTGCAGAATCTCATTGACGCAGTTTGTAGACAGGGGAGTGCCGCTCTAACTGCCCCCTGGATGCGCCAGGGACACTCTCTCCCTTGCCCATCACCGAGCTGGCACAGGAAACTCGGACTGCAGCTCTGCAGGAGCGAGATCGTCTCAGTCACAGACGCCGTGGCAAAGGCTGCCAGTCGCGCTCGCTGACGCTCAGCCTGCCATCTCTACCTAAATAACATGACAGATATTTATTTTATCAGAGTCTCAATCCTTCTGGAAAAAATTCGTGACAGCAGCAAAAACAGGCCTCCCTGGGGACTAAGTTGTTTTGCAGATTTACCACTCTCTTTCCCAAGCAAGCTGCTTTCCTTCTGGAAGCAGTGGGGAAGTGACACACTTCTGAGAAGGACTTTGGGAATTTAAGCATGGTTGATTTCATTTCCTTGAAATTGACTCTCTTCTTGTAAACATGAGACAGATGATATTTTGGGGAGATTAACCAAAGGTTGTTTTCCCCTCAAATGTTCTGAAGATAAATACTGCCTAATTTAAAAAAAAAAATTAAAAGAGTCATGTGAGTTTGTGACCTTCTCCATCTGTATAGATAAGGAGAAATGATTCGTGTACTTGTCTCACGGCGAAACACAGTTAGCTCACACAGGTTCTTGGCACAGACTGGCAGCATGGCAAGAAAAGAATCGGCTTTGGAAGGACCACATCCAGGCCTTCTCCAGAGGGCTCCTGGGGACATATGGAGAAAATCTAAAATGTCCCATTTCTCTAGCGTGCAAAGCCCTTCCCTTGGACTTGACCAAAAAGCTTACGGCCACGCCAATATATGTATTGCGAGTGCTCAGCAAGTGGGAGGTTGCAATTATCCCAGCCGTGATGGAAAAGCCTGCGTATTTGTGCATTCACTCCAAGGCACATTCCTTCCCCAGTTTCCCATTCACAGTCATCTACCTTCACGCTGCCCCACAAAACGAGTCTCCACCTGCCAATGCTCAGTCCAGAGGACCCATCAGGTGGCCCTACCTTCCTTCTGCCCTAGCAGTATCTAAGCACTCTACCCAGACACCCTCACATCCAGAAAGCAGTCAGGCTTGAGCAGCTTGGTGCACCAAAGACCAGGGACGCACTCACCCACGCTCACCCCAACAAGCACATGCGCGGGCTTTCCTGAGTGGCCAAAGGGGCTTTCCTGGGCACACTAGCAGGAAGCTCGAGGTGAGTCAGAGCAGCCTGGACTCCAGCCAAAGCGCTCTGCTAGGGGATTCAGCGTTTCGGGGTGCAGCTTAGCCTGTTGCATTGCGACACCAGCCTGGCGTCTGTGC